TCGAGCATTCTGCGGTATTAACTGCTCAAATAACATGTTTCGTTTCGTAAACGCTTTAACTTTTGGTACTTAAAGTAACCCACTCTAAATGAAGTATGTGTTTAAACATTTTATTTGTGAAAGTAAAATGATGCCACCCGAGGTTTAGTGAGTCTGGGCTCTTAAAACGCACGATACAACGCAGCATAAACGTTTACAGCCCATTCTTGTACTTAATTGCTATTTAAATAAAAACGTACCATGAAAGCAATGGGACCCTTCTGGTGTGGAAGAAAAAATACTTGCATTCCTATTAACTAAGTGTGTTGAAAGGCGCACTTTATGGCTCTTTTATGTTATAAAATAAAATACTCGAAGACATTGGCAATTATGAAAGGGAGCAGAAAGATATAGAAAGTTAATTAACGGGCGATTGACCACTAGGCAGATGGTAGGGGGCTTAGCTGTTGGGAAGTTTGGAACTGAGAAATAATGAGGATAATCTCCTCTTGTTGAGGGCGTGAGTCCCTCCTCTTCGCCGGCGGCCTTATCTACCAGATAGCAAAAGTGGATCGCCCGCTGCACGCACTCGCCCGATGACCAAATCACTCCATAATATTATCTTTATTAACATTGGTCTACTTACTTACGATTCACCATTTTAATTATGGCTTACTAAACTAACTAAATGGACTGATAAGTCGGACAATTCCAATATTCATACAATCGTGAAATTTAATAAACTGCTATCTCATTGATAAAAAGCAGAGTAAATCTAATTTATTAACGAATCACATGCACTCAACGATAGTGTTTATTTTTTTGGTAAATACTCGTAGATTCAATTTTGCACCATCAAAACCAATCATCAAATCGTACGTATCGAGGATTGTGTTTTTTTTATCTTCAAAGTAAAAACAAGTGATCGTATAAGAAGTAGTACCTACAAAGGTAAAAAGACATCAATCATAAAAATAATTTAAAAAATGCACAATTAAGTTTGATTGCATGAATATTGTGATGAAAATGTATTTTAGTGTAAAGGATAAAAAAGAGCTTGGGCTAACGGTTTTACAATGTTAACTCGTTGTCACAACAACCGACCCGATATTGCCCCCAAAAGTTGGGCTAATTTAATTACCACTACCTGGAAAAACGTATTTTCCGCTGCGTGAAAGAGTTTTTCCGATTGGTAAATATTTTGGCATAACGATACGAAACGATTGATCATTTAAATTACAAGCTTATTGGAAATAGGCTTAAACGCCAACTATAAAAACTTTCTGTAAATCTTTTCTCTTTTAATCCTTTATTTTCGGATGTATTTTATCTCATTCTTCATTGATTTTTTGAATATCAAAATTTACAATAGGATTCTGCTTCATTATTTTAATAATCATGCAATAGTATAAATTTAATTACGCGTACTTTCAAACAAACAATTAAGGCAAGCAAATGCTGAAAAATGGTGTACGAACGAATGCCAAAGTCTGAAAATAGCAAAGGTACATTTTGTACGTACTAATCGTAAAAAGTTATTTACGAGGTACTTTTTTTTTAATGAAATGATCCTACGAGTATAAGGAACATTGTAAAAAATGAAAAAAAAAATAAAAATCATAAAAAATCAGTTTTTTTTCTAAATTGATGCGGATTTTTGAAATGTTAATGATGCTGGTTTTATGTTGTTTATTTTAAGTTAGAAAAAGAGTAATTTTAGTATTTATTCTATCAGGTCTGGTGTAGTCTCAAAATTATACATTTGGTTCAATAAATGTAGAGCTACTCGTACTAACTGGTGGATTAATTAACAGTGAGCGTGTGCGTATTTGTGTGTTTACGTAGTACGTACAAAATATATCACTTTCTTTTTATTTTGAAGAGCTTCAATAGTGTTATGTAGCATTATACAGATATTTTCATGTCGGTCACTTTAATTTCTAATCCTTTATTAAATAAAAATGTCATTCGATTAATTCATGACACTCGTGATAGATAATTTTATTGTTGGCTAATAAGTAAAAAATATTTAACTAAATAGTTGCATTATAGTTTTATTGTTCCTATTTTAATTTAGTATAACGTAAGACATTTTAAAAATGTTTTTGAAGATAGCACTCATAGTATTCGAGCAAAATACTGTTGTTGTGGCTTGCACCGAAATCGAATAATGGGAACTCCCAACATCGAGTATGAAATCTGTGGAGCACGACTCACCCCTCACCACGCCCTGCGGCTTGGTCGAATCGAAACGTCCGCGTTCGTTAGCTTAGCATAGAGTCAAATCGACAATGGGTATTGCAACGGAGTAATTAATGGTTATGTGAGTTAAAGGAATTCAATGAAGCTTCTAAGTATTTATTAATTCATTTAGATTGTGTTATGACAGGGATGCTTTTGGTTTTGTAGAATACACTGAAAATAAATAGATTTATTAAAAAAAAATTAACCATGTGTTTCAACCTTTACAGGTTTATTTGTGGCGAAGGTTTTCATAATGACTTACTTGACTTATGGTCCTATGTCCCCTAGATGGGGCAGAGGGCGTCCACAACAGTCCTCCATCGCGTTCGGTCTTGAGCTGTTATTCTGGGATGGGATTCTGTTTTCAGTATTCTGCGCCTAAAAACAGAATCCCATCACTAGGGAGGATACCCGGAAAAAACCGAGCGAGTCCAGAAGCTCTGAGGTGGCAGCCCCACCACTGGACTAGGGTACAGCAGGTTAATCACCCACTTGCCCGAAAATACTCGATTAACGAAACGAACACAACAGAAAATCAGGTTTTCATAATAGAAACACAGAAAATAATCGAAAGATTTATTGTTGTCTTTAAAATTGACAAATATAATATGAACTGCCTCTCCTTAAGCCAGTAATTTTCATTGAGAGTCGTTCGTCAATGATTGTAGAGTCCATTATTGCCAGTCTTATTTGACTTAGGCTTAATTCTTATAAGATCATAAGAAATGTTAGGAAATTGGAAAATTGTAGTCAATTGTTGAATCGTATGAATATATTTATTTATTTTATTTATACTTCAATGCCAAAAATATTTACATTAGGCGAACTTAATGCCATAAAGCATTCTCATCCAGTATACTTTAGTTTTATTTATGTTATTTAACACACATAAAGGTGTGATAAAAGTAGCAAATCGTGCTTCTCCTTCTATCTATATTTAATAATTAGTTTTTTTGTTAGTTGTTCAGAGTTCATTAAATGTTTATTAGAATGTCATTATATGTAACTTTTGTACTTAACAAGTAAAAAAGAGGCGACTTGTTAATGTAAATGTTTTTTTTTACAAATTAATAAACATTTAGATATTAATCACTTCATATTTTATGTTATAAACGCAATGAGTATAAAACGTTTTATCACAACATAACGTTCCAAGAACGTACAAGTATATTCTTATGATGGCTATTAAATAATGTTATCGATTGTGTGAATATTAGTGATGGTTCTAATTAACGTAGAACAACTGTAAATATGTAGAGCTAGTACAGATAAATAACAATATTGATAACTACTAACACACGAGCTATATTTGAGTACCCACATTATACTACTAATATACGTTTGAACTTCTATTAAAATAATATTAATAATATATGTTTATCAACCTTTTTCATTTAATTTGAGTAAGTGTGGAGTTTATACTATTATTTCTGTATACACCAATTCATTAACTTGTGTTGATTGTGAGTACTTTGCAAATATCAAAGGATCTAATTTCAAAAGTAATCTTTTGTTAACACGCTGTAGTAATAAAATATAATGTTTTATATTCAATATTATTATTGCGTCCAACCGATTGTTTTGTGGTAGAGCGTACTGTTTAATATTTTTATATTTTATAATAAAATAAATCTGTTTTGGAACATCGACTGTACATTTAATCTTGTTCTTTGATTTGCGATAAACACTTCTAGATGTGATAAGATAGCAACGTTTATTGCAGCTGCAACATAGGCAAATTACAAATGTAAAACCTTTAATACACTTTGGTGATATGTAAATTTAAATTGGTAGAGCCTTTCTTTTACTTGTTACTTTAATTACACATTACAAGGAATTGTAAACTAATTGTACATTTACAAAAAAAATGAAAATAACTAATTAACCCTACCATTAAGTTTTGAATAAGCCAATTCTAGGTCTGAACGTAGACATCTGCCTCTTCTATGCTGTATCGCCGCTGCCGGTCTCCTTTCCACAATCTAGTTTACAGCTACTGACGTCGTCAGTCCATCGGGTAAAAATATAGAACCGTGTTAATTATTAAGTGTCGTAATCATTACTTCTTGGTACTGAAATATATTTTTGCGAGCATTTAAAAATCTTAATTTGTAATTAAAAAAATAAAAACTACATAAAAATGTCTAATAATTTTGATTGTAACTGTACTAATCACAAACGGGCTCGACATAAATGTATATCAAAATGTTATTATTAACAATCTGCACTTGATAATGTACCGATGAATGTTCCACTATTATTGGTATAGAATATCTCAATCAAAGCAATTAAACTTAATTGATACCTACACCTAATAAATGTTTACGTAAAAATTTTCCTGTTGCTACTAATTATTCTACATTGAAACCCAATTTCAATTTTACTGTCCAACAGTAATTTCTTTGTCTAAGTTTGCCTAGACACTGATTTTTAAAATGTAGAGTCAAAGCAAATGAAAATTAAATGGTGACCGCTCTTTCAAAATAAAATATTGGCAGTCAGAATGGATTTTAATGGTTTTCTCAATAGAAAGTTAGCTAATGAGCAACTAGCTACGAAATAATTTGAACAAAAAGAAAATTACCTTGGCTTTAAAAGAAAATCTTAATGCTCATCAATATTTGATAGAGATCACTGTGATAGCAACTACGTTGATATTAACCAATTTTTAAAAATATTGTTGTAAACACGACTGTTAGATCGCCCAGCAAAAATATTTTTAACTTTTTCCTGACTGAAGAAAAGTTTTCTAAAAGTTTTAATTTATCGACGCTTACCTGATTCGGTGGAGATCCTCTGAAGGCGAATTGGGATGTCATTTTTCACAATGAAACTTGCCGTTAAACTTGTAAATAAGCACGTATCGAGTATATTGTCTGTGTCACTGTCCGCACACACTTCACAGTCGCATGTTGTCGCGGCGGCACTGTTCCCCGAGAGCGGGCCGTTCGCGGTGCATTCCCGAGACGAGCGAGAGCAGAGCAGGGTGCACTCGCAACGGTAGCCGGCCGCGCTCGCGAATATCGATTGAAGTGCAGACTCGGGGTGCCAACGGAGCGTCACAGGAGCGGAGCGGCCGCGTGGTGCAGCGGGCGCGTGGTCGCGCGCGCGGCGGCAGTGGGTAATGCGGTAGCTGCCCGCCAGGTGATAGTAATTGGCGCCGCCGTCCTGCTCTCGCCTCGGCCGTCCTTCTCGGCGCGCACACGCACACGGACGCCTGTGTGAGTGACGCTCGCACACCGCTCCTTCTTTTCACGCTCGCGTCGCCGTTTGACCCCGCGCCGCCGTCGACGCTCTCGATTTTTGCGGTGCGGTGGGTGGCGCCCGCCACAGGGGCGGCCCGACTCGGTGGGGGCTGCCGGAGGTGGGGGTAGATGCACTCCTTTCTTTTTTAAAGCTTCTCTTTCTTTTCTCGTATTTTTTATGTTAGTATTGGTACGGAGCGGTCTCTTTTATTTTATTTTATACATATATATTGTGATAATTAACAGTGACGATGCGCACGACGAGCGAGTTTGCTGAAGCGTCGACTTAATGATAGCTTTGCATTTGATTAAAGGTAACCACCACAACATTTGTAATTTTTATTTTCCTGCAATGTGAAGCGTATGGTAGAGTTACTCGTATAGCAGAACGCCAGTGAAGTCGGCGGTTACAGCCTGTTGTGTACTCGATAGCTTATATTACTGGAGTTGCTTTTGCGGTGGAAACAAGTTAGCGGTGACAGTATTAAACGGTCCTTTGAATGTGTTCTCCTCGCTCTCTGTATTGTGTAGAGCTACGATTATATGGGTGTCTTGACTTCTGAAGTTGCATTTAGCAGATTTTTGTAGTGCACTGCTAAATGAAAGGTATGATGGATATTATTTGATTTGTGGGAATAAAAATAATAGGTCTTTTGAAATATTATACCAATACAAGAAAATAACAAAAGAGAAAATTAAATTGTAAAACTTCCGGTCATGTGTTGCCCATAGCAACCAAAAAATAATAAGAGATTTGAATTTTCTGTTTCTCAAAAAACATCTACTCTAAATTTGAAGAACCTGAAACAACACTAAAAGTAGCTGGCAGATAATTCCAGACGCTTTCACGGTAGCTTGCTATTGGGAACAACCTACAGGAAGGTGGTAGGTGGCTGGTGTGACGCACCTATAATTATGCTATGACAATAACACCACCAAGTATCGAAATAAAAAGCGCAACGTCCCCGATCGATCTATTCCCCTCTTCTTTCTTATCGCGCGAATATTTCACACTGAACGCATACCGACCGAAAAAACTCACACAGATATAAAATATTCAAACGGTATAACATAAAATAAATTATCTTAGGTGAGCGTGTCGCTGTGTGCGTGGCCCCCTCCCCTGGGCGGGCCGCCGGCTGCCGACCAATTGCGTCGAGCGGCGCGCGACGCAAAGCAAAAGTCACTTGACGCTGCGCGTTTGTTCTCGCTGCACGCTTCGCTCCTGCATAACCTCTACCGGCCATTACAATACCTGACCTTAATCCTTCATCTCATTACGCTCACTTACACTTAAAAGGTATACGATCTAGGTTGGATTCCATATTTTCTTCACCTTCGCTGAAACGACATTTGCGAGGCCTAATGAAAACCAAAAACGGAATGCAAATGACTCTACTTTTTGCGATCAAACAGGACACACAGTTGAAAAAAAAGTTTCATTAATTCGTTACAAACTCAAAAAAAATTAAGACTGCTTTATCGTCTTACTTGTCCTTGGAAATGAACTTATTAGAATTGAAAGAATTATGAATGGCTCGCCGAAAATAATTACACCGCAAAAAAGCGGAAATGACGCTACGTGTAGAGTGAATAAAAACCACTGAAAGATCGCTTCGCTTGGTCGACTAAGCTGAGCGTAACATTGCTTTGCTTCAAAAATACGTTTATTAAATTTAATTCTATTTAGAAAATTACTTTTTACGTGTCAACACGCTGTTACATTCTGCTAAGAGACGCTGAATCATTTTGTTAGGTGGAGCAAGGTTCCTTTGATGTGTCGGAGACATTTTTCCCTCCAATTTTTAATGCTAAGAGGCCGAAGCGTGTGCTCGTCGTGCCAAAGTGCGAATCGTATGTGCCCAGCCTAAAGTGGACGGGGACGCTGCTTGAAGCATTTGTGTGCTCTACAGTGCAAATTTGAAGTCAGGGACGACCCCAAGTTCTAAGCTTATTTTTTTAAAATAGATGTACATTTTATTCAAAACAAGCGAAATTTAATTAAAGATGATAATGATATAAAATTACTTTGTTTAAATGTTGGTGATTGTAAGAGCTTTTTTTTCATATTTAAACTAGTACGACCTACAAATCTCTAATTAGAAAAAGTTTAATAGGTTTTATTTCGTAATCAATTTGCTATATAATTTTTGTTCTTTACTTTCTCTACTTTAATCAAAATATTTTTCTCGATACCTTAAAAATACCTTATCTAGATGCCCAGACAGATACATTTATTAGAATTTATGAACCCTAAAATGTATGTTTACTTACTAATCTTATCAAATAACCCTTTGAAACACATGTTGCTATTTTTTTAAATGTAGAGTCATTTTGTTGAAAACTTCACGTACCTATTGAAATATATTTTTGTACCTGTTCTGGTCTTCTGTAAAGTCAGATAATGAACTTTACAATTAAATACTTCATACTAGAATCTCATCATTGACTCTACTTTCTTTATTTAACGTGATTAAAAAGAATCCTATATTGTCATGCACTTTTACCAAAGTATTGCTATTTATAAGGCCAGATTATCTAGTAATCTACGATTTTATGAAACCATTAAACGCTCAGTAGATAATATTAAGTCTTCTACCATAAAGGTCAGCATATTTTGTGTGTTTTACAGTGTCCATAATAATTGTTAGCAAATAATGGCCGTTACAGTATTGCATTACACAGAACGTATCGTATTACTTTAAACTTAATTATAGGGCATAAATAATATGTTTTTAAATTTTTACAACCTCGCTTTATGCTCATTATTGCTCATTTGTAGAGTGTAAAATATTATAATGATGGAAACAAAAAGGCATATACTCGTATCTGTACTTTAATGCGATAAATATTTATTGTACTGTGATGTACTTGTTTTTGATTTTATATAAGATTATTCATAATCATTAACCTCGGTTTATTCATTTTACATCTCAATACCTACGATGAAAACTGATGGAATTGGTCAGACCCCACATCCTGTTACAGTTACAATAGGCTAGAATTGGTCCGACCCAAACCCTGTCACGCTTGGTTAGCTCGTACCTATGCTTGCGCGATGTAGGTACAGACAGCATCTCAACAAAACTATACATGTTTGTTACAAAATATCGTTACAAGAATGTAAGGTGTCACAGTGATTATTTAGCTTACCGTGCCGTCATCTTTACTAAACGTAGGCACAATATTAACCACACTTAACAATGGCAACGATATAACTACAGTTACGGTGTTTGGTGTTGGTAGTTTTAACTTTGGAATCCTGCCCAGTTTTATTCTTAAGTAACGAGTATGAAGCATGTCAACTTTAGCAATAGATATACGGACAAAATACAACGGCGCAGAAAATAAAGGTATATTCATACTTGAGTAGCGTAGGTACGTGGTACTTCAAATGAGCACAGGTGGTTCATATCCTCTTCGCGCTACTGACACTGTGAATAGGTGCTACTTAGTGTATACCAAAATTTATTTCTTAATTTACAAAAATAGAATTAAAAAATTAACATCATAATATCAACATGATTTTTAATATCTGATGAATTCAAAATTGATTAAAATCAACAATCCGTTTATGGAAAATATCAATCAAAACTAGATTTTCATCCCATTTTCGATCCCGACCCCTGCCACCGATGGTACGCTCGTGTGCTCACACAGTGTAAATTAACCTAACTAATCCTCCTATCAAAATGATCTGAGTACAGACTAAAATACCAGTGTTTGGTATTACCGACTCACTCACATTATATTATTATACACGAGAGAATTGATTAGGTACTTGTCTCGTTCTATTTTGAAAATGTAACTTTTTGTTTGTTTGTACATAACTTACCTTCATCATCATTAGGTCATGTCTCTGTTACAGTCAAAACTCATAATCAGTCAAAACCACTTTTGACTGCAAAAGTGCCCTTGGTCAATATCACTTTTGACTGGACTGATTTTTCCAGTCAAAAGTGGTTTTGACCAAGCGCGTTAGTCAAAACCACTTTTGAGTGCAAAGATTTTATTTATCCGATCGAACAAAATGATAATCTACTTATCTTTTACCTGACGAATACCCAGATATCTTAAAAGTATTACCTTAAGGTAGATGTGATCATTTTATATGCACAAATCACAAAAATGTTACACTTTAAAATGGTTATATTACAATTTTAAATGATTTACAAGTAATTTACACTAATCATAATACTTTCTATGAATTTTGACTGATTGGTAAAATTTTAAATCAGGCGAAACCACTTTTGACTGATTTTTTGAACTCCAAAAGTGATATTGACCAAGAGTATCAGTCAAAACAACTTTTGACTGATTTTTGCAGTCAAAAGTGGTTTTGACCGACTACGAGTTTTGACTGTAACATCTCCAATGTATATGGAAGGACGATCTTCTCTATTTTACCAAATGCAAATGGAAGATTTGGCCTACACTCCACAGGGCTGGCCTGACGGGCTGGGGAAGCCTATGTGATGCTCGCGTATTTTTCCCTCAGTCGCATCTTACATCCATGAGAAAAGGGGGTGGTCCTATTCTTCTCTGCCAGAACCACACGGTTACATAAACACAGAGTATATTCGTATTAAAAATTTCCTCCGCTATTAATTTTCTAAAGCGTAGCCTAGCCTAGCCTAGCCCCAAAAAAAAAAATATTTCCTTTTTATTCTAAGGCCATGTAAAGACGAAGACGATAATATTTAAATGACCATTAAACATTGTATGAAGTAATAATAGAAGCAATTTTGCAACTAAAATTGTGTATGTAGTCTAATGTGGCAGCGACTGCACAAGCTCTGCTTTTAGTTACTGGGTAATTGGTGTGAAATTAGAACCGTTGTTTGTTTACTAATTCGAGTAATTATAAACTTATGTTTACAAAAGTTCTAATGATATTACGGTAGTTCTTGGCCGCGAACGAATTGAACTAATTGACAACTTACCAGTAAATAGAACGGAAGTTAGTTAACTATTAAAAGCTTCCACGA